TCACAGACTGCAAAAGAAGAAATATGACGATAGGAATTAAGTTACGGACAGCAGTGCAGAATTATGCGAAATTATGCAATAAAGCCATCAAACTAGATCTGCTGCTGCAAGTATCAGGATTTCTAGAATGCTGATCACCAGATGATGCAGCATTGGTCACAGCAAAGCGAAAGGTTGTCAGTTGCATAATTGGGGGAACAAGCTGCGAAATACACACAATCAAAGCAATAATGGGCCAAACCTGTACAAGTACGGCAGATAATAGTAGCGAAAATATATAGCTTGTCTTGCCGCTGATGTGACTGATGGCCAAGCTGCTGGATCCTGAGCTATACAAAAAATATTGTTGTGATTCCTGAAAAATCCTCTATTAATTTAGCACAGATGCTGGTGTGTAATAATTTATATACAAGGAAGCATAGAGGAGATTTCAAATATAGTTAAAAAGACAGTTTAAAGAAACTGACGCACCTCATGAACGGATAGAAAGCACCCAATTGCTGCCATCGCAGGCAGAGCTCCTCGGTGGTATTTTCGTTGAATCCACAGATATCAGCGCCAACATACGGAATGCCGAACATATTGAATTCCTGGATGCCAATGATTGAAGCTCGAAGTGATGCAAAATCAGCGTAGTTATCGCCAAGCCAATGACCAGCATAGTGTCCGGATGATGGGAATGTTGATCTAAACGAATAACTTTTTCTTGCTGGCAACAAAAAACTCGCTGAAATTCGATCAGCTGAAGAGAACAAAAAATTGCTTCGGCTGCTGGTGGTACCAAGAATTGAGCATCTTCTCCACGTAAGCGTGTATATCCACAAATGAAACTCTCCTCCAAAATTTCTTAAAAATTTTATTGCTTGATAACTGGTTAATAGAACAACCTTGTGAGGATGAATCCACGCTTGCCGGTTGCTTTATAAACTGCTTTTTGCGTGTGGATCGCTTCATTTAAACCATACAAATTTTTAGTATCGTACAAGCGATTCTTCCCACGATTCGACAACCCCGACAAACACAGCGATTTATTTGAGAGATTCTGTAAAATTTGACAATTTGCATAATCTAACATACGTTTGTGCGAAATCAACTGACCATCACATCAAGGTAGCAGTACAGAATCGCTTGAAAATTGCAGTAAACTGCACCCCTTATGCTTGAGATCTTAGGCCTGTTGCCTGCACTATGTACGAGCTTCACCTCTTCGAAGGCTACAGATGATTAATCTCTTTCTCATAGAATCACTTAAAAGCATGCAATATCCAATATTTAATGAAAGTCGTATACTCACAGCCTCGTCGGGGCCATCATAGACGTGATAGGCGTATG